TTGAGTTTCAGTCTCCCAATATTAGGGTCTCTTTTTGTGCAAGAATATTTTACAGACGGGATGTTCCTCCTACTGCATTGCCTCAGGAAGCTCATGGCCTCAGGTTGTCTCACTTTTAGTGGTGCTAAGGTGTATCAGTGAATTCAAATTCTCTTGGTTCAATTGAGCTGTTATCAAGTTTCCTATCAGCCTTCAGCTCATGATTTTAATAGCTATGGATGCTTTGTCCCTTAGTTTCATCAGGAGTTGTAATAACTGTATCTCTGTAGCATTCATCGCTTGGGTGTGGAGCAGGGCGATGGGAACTGAAGCAGGAAAAACCCGACTCTGCAAAACATCCCTGAAGTGAAACCTCACAAGGGGCAGTAACTGGGCGGACAGCAAGACAGGATGTCTGCATCATGTGTCTGCCTTGAGCCTCCCTCAACCCCCTAGTCACGTACACCTAAAATGCAAAGATTATCACGTATACCTTGAGCAAGTCATCACACCCGCCTTGAAGGGAATTGGACCAGGGCAAAGCAGAGAGGAAAAAGTGATAGGCCAGTAGTGTTAAGCAGCACGTGACTGGACTTCTGTAAACTGGGACCCTCTATAAAAATGTGTGTATTTGGCAATAAAGTGAGCTGTGATCAACTGCTCCCGGAGGAGTTTCTCCACGTGCTTGTCCTCCTTTGTCCCATAGCCAGGCTCCTGCCTCGACCCACTGCACAACATGTCTGGACATGTTGGGAATAACAGTTCCCCAACATTTGGGTATCCTAAAATATATGGCAGAATATATCTTTGCTTTTTGCCTCTTATTTACCAATTTCCAAAATACAAAAATCCCTTAGGTAATCCGAGAGTGTGCAAGGAAGGGTTTAACATTTTTTAGTATTAATTAAAATTCACATATTTGATTATATATTTTATATGATTCCATTTATTCTTTTTACTGTGGAGGGGGAGCAGTTGGCCATGCTCAGGGATTACTCCTGGCTTTGTATTCAGGGATTGCTCTTGGAGGGGAACAAGGTATCATTTGGGATGCCAGGATTGAATCCAGATTGCCCTCATGCAAAGCAAGAGCCCTACTACTGGCTGTACTCACTCTCTGAACCTGGACGACAGCATTTAAAACTTTATTTTTATTGTAGTGCAGGTAATAGGGTTACAACAGTGGGTTTTTTTTTTTTTTTTGCTTTTTGGGTTACTCCTGGCGATGCACAGGGGTTACTCCTGGCTCTGCACTCAGAAGTTACTCCTGGCGGTGCTCAGGGGGACCATATGGGATGCTGGGAATTGAACCCGGGTCGGCCGCGTGCAAGGTAAACACCCTACCGCTGTGCTATCTCTCCAGCCCCACAACAGTGTTCTTGTTGCTGGCATCAATGTACAAAGTTACAGCACACTCCCCTCTCCTACCCCCACACACCCCAAAATGGCCAGGATCCTCTATGTCACCTCTGGTCTGATGGGCAATGTCTTTTATATTATGAATTTAGACTCAAAGGCTGCGCATGGTTTGTTTGTCGTTAATTCTTGCCTTTCCCAGGACAGCCCAAGATATATGCATTTTGCAGAAAGACTAAAACTAATCAATTTATGCTGTGACTGCCAATTCAAACGTTTGACAATAGAGTAGATAGAAAACTTCATCAACTTAATAATCATATTTCTTTCTTTAACCCCAAACTGAATATATATATATAAGTGTGTATGTATGTATATGCTGTATATGCTTTTCAACCTAACCCATTGATTGGGGCTGTCACTTCCAGTGGTGCTTGGGGTAACTTGTGGTGCTGGGGATCGAACCCAAGTCTCCTGCATGCAAAGGATACACTCAACTCATTAAGCTACCTCTCTGGCTTAAAGACTTTAATATGTAGATAATTACATATTATCCATTATATGTGGAGGAGGAAGGGGCCTAACCACAAAATTCTCTGGAAAAGAGGAAGTGTAAGTTAATATCGCTGTGGTCAAACAGTGAGTAAGCCCTCTGTAGAACTTAGCAGTGCCCGGAGTACAACACATTCAGTTGCATCTAAATAACATTACCAGTGTAATTACTGAAAAAAATTTATTTCTAAATATTGTTGTATTTGCCTTCCTTTTTTGGCCTTGGATATGTCACATAGGCTATATAGTCAAAATAATGAGTTTTAAAGTCAGTGCCTTATTTTTCCATGTGACTAGGTCAGCAATTCAAAATATACTTTGAATGGCATTTTTTTCTTTTCTTTTTCTTTTGGAGTCACACCCAGGGGTTACTTCTGGCTTTGCACAGGAATTACTCAGGGAACCGTATGGGATGCTGGGAATAGAAACCCGGTCGGCCGTGTTCAAGGCAGACGCCCTACCCACTGTACTATCTCTCCAACCCAATGAATGGCTTTTTTAAGGGAATACTTTGTAGTTTTCTTTTTTAAAAAGCATTATATAAAACATTTACCTGATTCCAAAGTTAAAACTACAAAACACAGGATATGAAAAGAGTTTTAGCTGCCATTCTCCACTTCTCCACCTCATTCTTTTCCCACAAGTGCCGCTTTATTAATCTATGATTTGTCCTTTCACAGCTTCTTTAAAATGCCAGCAAAAGCACACATCTTTCTCAGAAGAAAGGCAACATATACAGAGTCTCCAGTTCGTCTTTTTCACCTAATCCATCCTGGAGTCCCATGGCCTTTTCACAGGGATGGTTTTCATGCCTTTCTACAGCTGCACAGAACTGCATTGTAAGGGGTACCATGGTTTATTCAGTCAGCCTCGTGGGGATGAAAGTGTGGGGGCAAGAAGCATTTATTGCATGACTAAATTGTGCCAGGCACTGGAGATAAAGAAATTGTGTGGCTTCAGGAAACTCGGAGTGCAGTGGGGGCCATCTCTGCAATACAAGCAGTTTCCTCATGAGTGGGAAGACCTCAGAGCCCCTGAACACAAGGGACGGTGGAAAACAGACAGGCTCACTCACGGAAGGGGACAATAACTGTCTATTGCTGGACATTGGCTCCCACATGAACCTTATTATCTATTTTTAAGAAGTTTTTTTTTTTTTAATGAATCACCGCAAGATAGTTACAGACTTAGTTTCGTGCTTACGTTTCGGTTATACACAATGATCGAGTACCCATCCCTCCACCAGTGCCCATTCTCCATCACCAATGTTCCTAGTATCTCTCTTCCCTCCCAGCCCCACCCCCCTCTGTGGCAGGCGACTCCCTTTCTCTCTCTCGCTCTCTCTCTCTCTCTCTCTCTCTCTCTCTCTCTCTCTCTCTCTCTCTCTCTCCCCCCTTTAGGGTGTTGTGGTCAGCAATGCAGGTATTAAGTGCCCATCATGTTCTGTCTATGGTCTTTCAGCATGCATATCCCATCCCAAGCGTGTCCTCCAAGCACCCTTTACTTGGTGGTCCCTTCTCTAGCTGAGCTGCCTTTTCCCCCAGCATGCGAGGCCAGAAGTTGGGCAGAGATGCTCCTGGTCCTTATCTCTACCACCCTTGGGTGTTCCTTAAATACAGAAGTCCCTACCAGGACATGGTGAGGTTGATTTGGAGCCTCCCAAGAAGTGCTCAGGGGTAGGCTGGGGAACTCCTTACAGACGGAGCCCGGGGTTCGGGTGGGGTGGGTTTGGTGAGGCCGGCACCAACTCTGGCAAGCCAGAAGGCACTCCATCCAGTCCTTTGTGCCACCTCCTTCCTTGGCCAGGAGAGGGAACGGATTTCCGCCAAGCTTGGAGCTGCTTAGAAAGTCATGCGCGCCACCACTTGGTCAGAGGAGGAAAGGCCAAACGGGGGACGCAGGGAGGAAGGGGCCTAACCGCAAAATTCTCCGGCAAAGAGGAAGTGCAACTTAATATCCGCTGTGGTCAAACAGTGAGCAAGCCCTCGGTAGAACTTACCGGTGCCCCGAGATCGCGCCAACCAGCACCTTACCTACACTTAACTCCTTCGGGCACCCCCAAACCCGAGAAGCAGAGATCTTAACTCTCATTTTAAAGCGATTAAGGCACAAAGCGGCTGCCTCACTTTTTCCGCCCAAGGTCAACACCGCGGGGGAGCGAGGAGGAGGAGCAGGGAGGGATGGAGGGAGGAAGGAGGAAAGGCATGCGTGCCGTCCAGTGACTCCGATGGGTGGGAGCATGGTCAGCAGGTAGAGAGCACGTGTGTGGTCCTGCACGCCACCAACCCGGGTAGGATCCCCTGAGCCCTGCTAGGAGTGACCCTTGAGCACAGAGCCAGGAGTCGCCCTGGAGCCCCGGGTGTGACCGAAAAAACAAAGCGAAACCAGCCCTGGACTCTCCTTCTTCCTCTCCGGGAGGTCGTGGGGGGCTGGAGGTGGAGGGCCTGCCCGACCCGCGGTGGCTCCACGCCCCCTTTGCACAGACGGCGGCGTTGGCGTCCGCGGGTTGCGAACGACACGTGGCCCCGGACAAACTGCTCAGGAGAAGCCAGCACCGGACCCGGGCCCGTCTTCAGCTCAGCTGGACTCGCGGTGGTGGGCAGAGTCCACTTACAGGCCGTGGGTCCCCTATTGGCAAGGTGGGGGTGGGGCGGGGTGGTGGGGACACGCATAAGACTTGGAATTCGTTGCGGACCCCACCCTCGACTCTTTTGGGGGAGAAATCGAGCCAGAAAGGAGACTGCAGCGTGTTTGGGGAACGCAGCGCCCCTTCCCACCCCCCACCCCCACGCGAGCGCCTAGGAGCGTTGCCCTTGCTGCAAAGCGCCCGCCCCCGCCACGCACCCGGGACAACACACACAGCCACAAATCCTACCACGCCGGGTCAAAGTATGAGCCTAGTAACGCGTGGAGGCCTCAACTCCCCGGGCAGAAAACAATGTCTGAGAGTTAAGTAGAACATGTTATTTAGAAACTACACAGAAGGAAAGGAAGAAAATCCGCTCCCTAGGAGAGAAACAAACGAAGTGCCCAACACAGAAATAAAACAAAGTTACACGTCTCAAAACGTCACACAAACTCCAGGAAAGATTCAGGAACGATCCTTAAGTTCACGTCAGACGGGTAATGTGCCCAATGCGTAACAAGAATTAAAGGGCGGCACATCTCACACAACCGTGTGATCACCCAATCATCATGCTTATGAACCGGAAAAGGATCGAAGGCTGTAGGCGTGTTGCGGAGCCCCAAATACAGCTCACCCCCTTTACAGCCAGGGTGATATACATCAGCTCAATGTATTTAATCTTGGTACACCTCAGGATGTTCCATTGTCAACCTCCTCTGTGACCCGCTCCCTATTCTTCTCTTTCTGCCTCCAGAAATGAAAACAGAAAACAAAAATAGTGCGTGCTTATGATAATCTATGCAAACAAGCCGCCGAGGCTCCACCTCCTCGGAGTCACGCTTTACGACCCGACGTCGTGAAAGGTCGGGGCGAGGCCGTAGGTCGGCGGCGGAAGCGGGCGTCGTGCTTGGCGGCGGGACCAGCTCGCGGCCCCGGGGTGCCCCGCGCCCGGGTGCGCCCTGGGGTGTCCCCGCGCTGGTGTCGCGTCCGCTGACTCGGCTGCCGGGACCGCTTTTGAGTCCGCGGCCGTCAGCCTCGGGGCGGGCGGCGCTTCCTGCTCCCGCGGGCGGGGCCTCCGCCGCCGCCCTCCCGCCACTTCCGGCCTCCGCGCCCCGGAGGGTCCCCGCCGCGCCCCTCGCCCCTGGCCCCTCGGGGGTCGGCCGCATGGAGCCCGGAGGCGCCGGGGACCCGCGCCCCGCGCCCCCGCGGGCCCTGGCGCGCGTCCTGCAGCGGCTCGCGGGCCCCGACGGCGGCCGGGCGCTTTGCGAGCTGGGCGCGCTGCTGGACGGCGCCGACGGCGCGCGCCTGTGCGAGGACCCCGCGCTGCTGGGCCGCGTGGCCGGGGCGCTGGCCCGGGCCGCGGCGCCCCCCGCCGGCTCCGCGCGCGCCGAGGCCGTGGGCGCGCTCTTCCTGCGGCTGCTGGACGCGACGGGGGCCGCGGGCCGGGCGCGCGTGGCCGGCGCCGCCTACGTGTTCGCCGTGAGCCACGCGGATGACGGGGGCGGCCCCGGGGCGGCGCGGGACGTGGCCCGCCGGGTGCTGGCGCGGCTGCTGAGCGCCGCGGGCGCCGCCTCGGTGCCGGGGCTGCTGGTGGGCGAGGGCGACGGGGACCCGGGGACGCTGCCCGCGGTGCTGGCGCTGCTGCAGCCCGAGCTGGGCAGGTGAGTGTCACCTGCGAGGGCCGGGGCCGGGGCAGGCTGCAGAGGGCTCGGTCCAGGCCTGGATGGAGGCAGCAGAGGGCTCGGTCCAGGCCTGGATGGAGGCAGCAGAGGGCTCGGTCCAGGCCTGGATGGAGGCTGCAGAGGGCTCGGTCCAGGCCTGGATGGAGGCTGCAGAGGGCTCGGTCCAGGCCTGGATGCCGGCTGCAGAGGGCTCGGTCCAGGCCTGGATGGAGGCTGCAGAGGGCTTGGTCCAGGCCTGGATGCCGGCTGCAGAGGGCTCGCTCCAGGCCTGGATGGAGGCTGCAGAGGGCTCGGTCCAGGCCTGGATGGAGGCTGCAGAGGGCTCGGTCCAGGCCTGGATGCCGGCTGCAGAGGGCTCGGTCCAGGCCTGGATGGAGGCTGCAGAGGGCTCGGTCCAGGCCTGGATGGCAGCCGCAGAGGGCTCGGTCCAGGCCTGGATGGCAGCCGCAGAGGGCTCGGTCCAGGCCTGGATGGAGGCCGCAGAGGGCTCGGTCCAGGCCTGGATGGCGGCCGCAGAGGGCTCGGTCCAGGCCTGGATGGAGGCCGCAGAGGGCTCGGTCCAGGCCTGGGGCAGCTTCGGAAAGCCCGCTGATCGAAAGCTTTTGTTTATTTTTCACGCGGGGGCCACACCCAGTGGTGCCAAGGGCTTACTCCCGTTTCCGAGCTTAGGGATCACTCCCGGCAGAGCTCAGGGACTACCTGGGATGTCAGGGATCGAACCTGGGTTTTCGCAGGTGAGCTGCATGGGAGGCAGGTCCCCCAGCCCGCTGTACTATCCTCTAGCCTTGCTGCTGTTGCTGCTGCTGCTGTTTCATTCTTTTTTTTTATTTTTTGCTTTTTGCATCGCACCTGGCGATGCACAGGGCTTACTCCTCGCTCTGCGCTCAGTAATGTTCCTGGCAGTGCTCAGGGACTACATGGGGACGACGACGACATGGGGTGCCAGGAATCGAACCTATGTTTCCCGCCGTCAGCTGCGTGGGAGGCAAGTGCCCAGCCCGCTCTGGCCCCAAGGCTGCTGCTTTTTTTTTTTTTTTTTTTTTGCTTTTTGCACCCCACGTAGTAGCAGGGGTTACTACTGGCTCTTCACTCAGGAGTTAGTTCTACCGGTGCTGGGGGGACTCTACGGGATGCTGTCAATTGATCCAGGGTCTGCTGCGTGCAAGGCAAACGCCCTGCCCTGCCCGCTGTACTATACCTGCTCCAGCCCCAGCTTCTTTTTCTTAAATCAGGTGGAATTGAGGACCTGTACAGGATTTAAGTTTAGAGCACTTCAGACACATCCGTAGTTATTAGCTAGGGATAGCTATTAGATACAGAAGTAATTATTTGGGGTGGAAAATTAAAGCCCTTTTGCATTGCTGTTATCAGAGCTGTTGGTGAGTTCCACTTGCCCTTTGTATGTGCATGTTTGTAAAGAAAAAATGTAGAAAAAACTCCCCATTTTGCAGGAATCCTGAATATATTTTTCAGACAAACTGGGGCAGGTCCCAGTGAGATAGACTTAAGGCCTTTTCTCTACCCCTCCCTGCTTTTTACAGCCTCACTAAGCAGATCACAGAGTCTTGAAGTAATTGGTTACAAATAAGTACGTCTCATTAGATCAATTTTAGACCTACAGACCTGGGTGATTGTTAGGTTATTTTGATTTAAGTATTAAAATATGTTTTAACACTGAGTTAGCTTCTCTGGGGTTTTTTTCCCCCTTTTTTTCTTTTTGGTCAAGGAAAAAGTACCTACTCTGTTTAATTGGATCTTGGATTTTGCTACTCAATGCCATGTCACTGGTTTCCCGTTTCCATATAGAGAATCCTGGAAGAAGAACCCTGCCACCAAACATGTTTTCTCGTGGACCCTGCAGCAGGTCACACGACCCTGGCTGGGTCAGTATCTGGAAAAGGTCCTTCCTCCAGCATTGCTCATCTCAGACGACTATCAAACAGAGAACAAGATCCTGGGTGTACAGTGCCTCCATCACATTCTGCTCAATGTGGTAAGCAACCCCCACCCCCGTTTTATGGGGGCCGCACCTGCTTGTGCTCAGGGATCACACAGTACAGGGGGAAGGGTACTGGCCTGACCTGTGGCTGACCCAGGTTCAATCCTCGGCATCACACAGTGATAGTCCCCCAAGCTTGTAGATGACAGACAACAGACAGATCAGGCGATAGTTGCCAATGTCGTGGATGTCTCCCTTGTACAGTAGAATAGTCCTGCTGGCTTCCCATTGGGACGGAACCTTGCATTCAGACAGGTAGTGTGTGAAGAGCCGAGCCAGTGTATTGATGAGTACTGATGGCAAATTCTTCAGGTGTTCGGGTCTGACCTTGTCTGGGCCGGGTGCTATTTGCTTCTTTATCAACGAAATGGCATGTTGGATTTTGGAAGGGAGAAAGTTGGGAATAACATATCCATCCTGCGGAATTTGGTATGTGGGCAGGTGGACATGGCTATCAAAGGGATCCGAGTAGAAGTCATGGATAATCTTCTCCATTGTCCTTCTGGAAGATGTGATAGATCTATCAGGATGTTGGAGGGCAGACCACTACCTCCACTACCCAGCCACCGCCGTGCTCCAGGCCACGTTTGGACCGTGTGGCTGCTTTGCGGCCATGCGACACATCATAAGACACTTAATACTGATCTTTCAAGATTACCGCACCATATTTGATGGGGTTTAAGTATGGTTTTAACTATGGGAACACCTGCGAGGGCAATTGGAGGCCACCCTAAAAGCCTCTATGCCTTTCGAAGAGTCTGGCAAGCTATCCGTGGCTTATTCAATATGCCAAAAACAGTAACTACAATGGATCTCATTCCCCTGACCCTGAAAAAGCCCCCAATATGGCAGCGTTAAGGATGAGGAAGGAGAAGCTGGTAAAAATCTCAGGACCGAACTAGGCTGCCAAAATGGAGTAAAATGACTGTACTTTCAACGTACGTATGCTGGCATCAGATGCACCCATTGAGGACCTGATGGTGCAAAAGATCAAGTACAACATCTTCGGTCTGACCAAGACAAGAAGGCATCAATCACATCATGCCTTTTTCGACACTGGAGAACTTCCTTGGAACGTGTGACAAAAGAGGCGTCAGTGGTGTCGGTGTCCTTACCAACACGAACTTTGCCATGAGTGTTGATTCATTTGAATGCCTAACAACCCGAATCGGACGAATACACTTGAATAGATGTGGCTCACTGCCAGCAGTTTCTGTCTTCGTTGTCTACACACCAACATCCAATTACAATGAAGAAATTGAGAAGTTCTACATGGAGATGGAGAAGTTCTATAAAGAAGACCACACCTTCTACAAGATTATTGTCGGTGATTTTAATGCCAAGATAGGACCAAGAAGATCAACGGACGAACACATCAGAACCCATGGCCTAGAATGGAAAGAGCAGGGTGAGAGACTGTCTGAGTTTATCATGTCAACCAGGACCATCCATGGTAACTCATACTTCCAGGAGGCCAAATCTAAATGTTGGACATGAGAGTCTCCTGGTGGACAGTTCCACAATGAAATTGACCACATCATATTGAATCGATGGTTTTGCCTGACCGATGTTGCTGTTGTCCCAAAATTCCAAGCGGGATCAGACTACCGTCCCCTTCGTGCAAAATTCTACTTCACGGAGCGGGAAGAAACGGTTGCAACGTTTAAGAAGAGAACTCCCAGAATGACCACCAACTGGGAGCTCATTGGCACTATTGCAGCAATGTGGGAAGATACTGTCATTGACAACATCAATGAGGATTACAATCAACTGGTTCAGCACCACCATGACTGTACGAGGAATGCCCAGAGAGGAAAAGCCACAAACAGACACCTGTCTTTGGAAACTCTTGTGCTCATTCGCCAATGTGGTTCAGATTGAGCCTCAGGCAATCACAAGCTAACATCAGAGCTCACAAAGCTGTGCAGAGAAGCAATAAAGGAAGACCTCAAAGAGAGGAGCAGCAGTGCTGGCTGATGCAGCAGAAGCCGGGAAAAGCATTTGCAATGCCTGCTTGTCCTTCGCCAACTACAAGACTGGTTCACAATATCACTGTTTAATTGTTGCCTCTTTTTTAATTTTTAATTGCCCGTCACTGTCCTCCCATTTTTCATCGATTTGCTCAAGCAGGCCCAGTAACGTCTCCATTGTGACACTTGTTCTGTGTTTGGCACATCGAATATGTCACGGGTAGCTTTCCAGGCTTTGCCGTGCGGGCGAGATACTCTTGGTAGCTTGCCAGGCTCTCCAAGAGGGACAGAGGAATCGAACCTGGGTCAGCCAGGTTGGCTGCGTGCAAGGCAAATGCCCTACCCGTTGTGCTATCGCTCCATGATATTATTTAACTGAGTGCTTATATTTTCCCTCTGCCAACTTAAAGTAGTTGTATTTCAGAGATTACATATGAGTCTATACAACATGGAGAGGTGGTCATGACTGAATCATCAGACCTTGAGTAATTGGCTTTCAAGGAAGACAACAAACTAGAAGGGAATATACCCAAGTGTGCAAGCTATTACTCAAGGAAAGTTGTTTATTTAAAACATTGTGTATCATGAAGACTTAAAAATATAATCAGAATTAGGGAGAGCTGTGTAAGGAATCCTATGTATCCATAATTAAGTTTCAAAATGACCAGTCTCCTGCCAACTTTGGAAGACTTTTTTAATTGAGCTCTTCTTTATCTGATTGCAGCCAGCCGCTGAGTTGCTCCAGTATAACAGGGCCCAGGTCGTGTACCATGCCCTTTTCAACCACCTGTACACACCAGAGCACCAACTCATTGAGGTAATTTTAACTTTTTTTCTTAACTATGAATTGGGTTCAAAGTTTGAGTAGGAGGTGGAATTGTGACTAAGAACAGTTATGCAATGTTTTCTTCTCTTGAAAGTAACGGTGATAATTTAAAGCTCCTGCCAAGTTGAGAATATGGACGTTGCATTTGTCTGGTGACATTTTTCTCAGTATGAAGTGGACAGTCCCCTTCTTGAATCTTAACAGAAAAATCAGTGTTTTGTCTTTCTCTTTTTTCATTTGAGTCTACTGACAATTATGAATCATTTCATTGCAGTATTTATTATGTTCTGTTTTATTGAAGTATCTTTTCTTCCTTTTTGTAAAAATAGGGGCCACACCCAATGTTGCTCAGGCCAGGTTTTACAGAGAATCAAATTTGTGGGGCTTTGGGGATGGAAGCCAGAGCACCTAGGAATTTTCTCTATCCCTTGAGCTCTTTCCCTGATATCCTGTGCTTTTTATCAGAACATACTTGAAATTCTTTACATGTTGATGTCTTAATGTCATTTATTCTTTTATCCAACACCGAGTACCAGTAAACATGATAGATTCCAAGAGTATCACAAAGGGTTTCTGACTTCATCTGAATGTTCAGACACATCTTTAGAGTGGTGAGTCAGTGGAAAGAAGTTTGTGTAATGTGCAGTGGGTACCCAACAGCAGACAGCCAGATTGGTGTTGTTGGGTGTGGTTTTAGGATTTGGAAGGAGGTGACAGTTGCTTATCTAAAGTTTTAAGAGAGTGAAGAATATTCTCCAGCTAGAGGAGACAAGTCATAAAAGAAGAGCTAGAAGTGATATTTGGTAGGTTTGGGGGCCACATCTGGCTGTGCTCAAAGCTTACTTCTGCTCTGCTCAGGGATCTCACCTAGTGGGGTTTGGGGGACCATATGTGGTGCTGGGCATCAAACCCTGGTCGACTGTGTGCAAGGCAAGCACCCTACTCACTGGACTGCCTCTCTCTCTGATCGAAATTAGCTTGTTTTTTTTCTTATCTCCTTCCCTGTCCCCATCCTTCTTTTTAAACTATTTTAGTTATTTAGGTCACTCGGGCTGGAGCCATAGCCCAGCGGGTAGGGCGTTTGCATTGCACTTGGCAGACCTGTCTGACCCAGGTTCGATTCCTCCGCCCCTCTTGGAGAGTCTGGCAAGCTACCGAGAGTATCTCGCCCGTACAGCAGAGCCTGGCAAGCTCCCCGTGACGTATTCGATATGCCTAACACAGTAACAAGAAGTCTCACAATGGAGACGTTACTGGGCCCGCTCGAGCAAATTGATGAACAACGGGAGGACAGTGCAGGTCACTTATGAATTAAAAAAATAAACCCACAAAACCAAAAACCTAAGATAAACCACTGATCCTAGGGGCTCAAAGGGAGTAACTTAACCCTGAAACTTCAGATACAGGGATTAAATTGTGCACAAATGATTTTATTTAGTAGTGTTTTTAAGTACATGTAAATATCACTTAGATCCAGAATCTGCCATTGCCTGCACTTTATAGATTAGCAAAAATGTCCTGATAAAATGTTAACCATTTTAGACTGACAGGTGGAGACAAAGAATGTAAAAAGTAAAGTTAAAAAATAAAAAGCAAGGAGCCAGAATGATAGTGCAGTAGGTACTGACCCAACCCCAGCATCCCATGTTCAGTCCCCAAGCAACACCAGGAGCAATTTCTGAGTGCAGAGCCAAGAGTAGCTCCAGAGCATTGCCCAAAAAAACAAAATAAAAAGCAGGGAGACACTTCGTGTATTGTCGTATTTTAGAATTCTAACACAAACTACAAGAATAGCAGCTTAGTGAATATCCTAGGAAAATCAGTGTTGGGAATAGAAGTGAATTGTAATGCTTCCGTATGCTTCTTGCAGGTCGTGCTTCCGTGTCTGCTGGATTTGTTTCCCATCCTGGAGAAAGGCCAGCACTGGAAGGGAGGTCCAGCGCGGCCCACCACACACTGTGATGAGGTGCTGCAGCTGGTGCTGACCCACATGGAGCCAGAGCATCGCCTGATCTTACGCAGGACTTACGCAAGAAGCCTGCCGGCCTTTGTGAAGAGGTGCGCTCTCAGGCAAACTGGCCGGACTGTGGACTCCCGCTTCAAATGCTCACGGCCACATTCTCTTTTGTTTTCAGATTGGGGATCCTAACTGTCCGGCACTTGAAGAGGCTGGAGCGAGTCATCATTGGTTATCTGGAAGTTTATGATGGACCAGAGGAGGAGGCTCGATTGAAGATGTTGGAAACCCTAAAACTCCTCATGCAGTGTACATGGCCCAGGTAATCCAGCCACACAGACCAGGTGTGCTCAGACCAAACCTCAGTTCATCTCCTCAGAAGAACCTTGCCCAGATGGACATTTAGCATCTTCATGCTAAATTAAGGAAGGTCATGCTACATGTTTGAGCTCTCATTTTCACACATCAATTGAACTGAGAAAGTTGAATACAGTTATTTAGGTATACATCTTTACAGATTTGTAAAGTCATGCTTCATTCACCCCGAGGTTTCCTGAAAACGGGTGTGTGGCGACTGTAGCATCTGCAGAGTGAGTATCGGCAGTGACCATAGTACTCCGTAGGCTGTATTGCTTAGTGAGCATTTCCACTGGACCAGAGAGAGGGCAGGGACTAAGGCGCATGCCTCGAGTGTGTGCAGCCAAACCCAGTTCAGTCCGCAGCCCTGCCTAGCCCCGGGATCGCAGGGTGTTGATTCCAAGCACCTCCCCCGCTTCTCCCATAAGGCCTTCACACTTTGGTTTGAGGAACATGCAGCTAGAACTCAGACAAGCTCAATTAGCAGAAGGCTTCCGTGCTTGAATTAAGTCTTTTAGGAAATACTGCCTGCTATAGCTGTTCTGAGCTCTACCCTTATTTCCTTTCAGTAGCCTAGATTTTCTGTTGTGGTATTTTGGGACCACGCAGCTGTGCTGAGAGATCAGCCCTGGTGGTGCCTGATGTGTGCAGGACAGAGTGCCTCAACCCCTCCCTTTCCTTGGCCACTTCGGTCATGTTTGTAACTGGGCTCACTGCCTCTTTTTACTTCCCTTCTTCCCTGCTCATTATAAGGTTTGCATGAATCGAAGCTCATATTGGTATAAGAATCTAAGATCGGCACACAAGTATTTGGACTAGAGATCAAGAAAGTAGAAGATATGTAGAAAACCAAGCTTACGTAGGAAATGTCACCTATGAAGAGGGCAAGTGGACAGTTGTCAAATGAGAGCTGAGCAGGACACAAATGATAGGAAAATTCATGAATACTTTTAAAATCAAGCTGTCTTTCATTCTACATTCCTGTCCAGAATTATGGTGTACTGAGAATATTTTTGGTTATTTTTAAGCTTCCACTAAACCTTTATTCTGTAGCACTGTCCTCCCATTGTTCATCGATTTGCTCTAGCGGGCACCACTAACGTCTCCATTGTGAGACTGGTTTCTGTTTCTGGCATATCGAATACGCCACCGGGAGCTTGCCAGGCTCTGCCGTGCGGGTGGGATACTCTCAGTAGCTTGCCGGGCTCTCTGAGAGGGACGGAGGAATCGGACCCAGATTGGCCGCGTGCAAAGCAAACTCTCTACCTGCTGTGCTATCGCTCCAGCCCAAACCTGTATTATTTCATGTATAAGAAATTCAGAAACACTAAATCTATTCACAGCTTTTTAAACTATCACCATTATCCACTTCCACTTCATTAAGTAAACAACTTAGGCTGATGAGTAATAGTCTGGACTTAACTAATAAAAATGATCTGGAATTTAAATAACAGGAAGCTCAAATTGATACTTAAACCCCAGGAGCCAAGCTTATTTCCTTAGTTTTTAACTTTCAGCCTACGATTGTGTAAAAGTTAAAGAATGTCACTGGCTGAACAAAGTAAAGGGGGATGTCAGTCCTCCATTTCCAGTGGAACCGAGCTTTTGGAAGGAAGCCAGATACTCTCAGACAGGCCCGAGTGTATCTGGGTAGATGCTATTTAAAGGGGTGAAAAAAAAACATTGTGCATGGAGTCTGGTCTCTAGTTCTGTCATCTTCATGTCATTATACTCTGACTTTATTTCATCTCCTATAAAGTAAGGGTTTTACACTCAGATGGACTTGACATCTCTTTGTTTTCATATTCTGATGTGGAGCCTAAGCAGTTTTTCTTGATTCCAGAATTCCTTGTCGAACTGTGGTTTTATTGAAGGCTCTCTTGAAACTGATCTGTGATGTCGCCAGGGATCCCGACCTCACACCTAAGCCTGTGAAGAATGCCTTGTTGGAGGCGGCCACAGACTGCCTGATTGTCCTGGACCACTGCTCGAAAGGGCAGGTGAAGGTAAGGGACAGTCTGCACGGGTGCAACTGGCTTCAGTTAGGGCTCATTATCTTACCTAGTGGCTCTAATAGATATGATTAGTGTTTACATGCCTGACCAATCTGTAAATGACCTGGAAGGTTGGGTGTTGGAGTACAAGCAGCTTAGGTTTATCTGGTTACACCCATCACAGTGCTCCTGAAGCACTTCCACTTCCAGTCTTTCCTATGCTCTCCTCCCCACCCAGATAATCAGCTTCCCCCTTAATCAGATTTTGTTAATTTGTAAGATCAGTTTCCCAGAAATCTATGATTTTCTGTGTATGAGTGAAATATTGCCTTTCTCCTCTCCTTATGCCTTATGAACAGTTTACCTTAAAGTAATATCCTTTTTGTATAGATACAGGAAGACCGTTAACATTATGCTTTGTAACTTAGGATTTGATTGGCCTTGAATATTATTCACTCCCGGGCATCTGCTTTCTCGACTTAAGCCTCAGTTGCCCTTAGTTCCTAACACCCCAAAAGCAGGGTCCCGACGAGGGACTGAATGGACCCAGGGCAAGCGGTGAGCTACCCTGGCAGCGAAATGGGCCAGGCCAAAGTGCCACGATTCTTAACTATAAGTTAAGAGTTTGATCATGACAGTTGGGTGTCCACCTCTGAGCCTTCAAGAGTTTGATCAGTACCTTAAAAAATATTCAGAGCCATTTACATCAGAAGGCATGAGAATCAGACGTTCCCTAAGGATGGAGAATGGACAAAATGGTAACGATCAGATTTGTAACATTCATTTATGGTCTCGTCATCTGAATTTTTTAATGAAATAATAGTCTTGAAGACGACCCAGGAATAAAATGTAGACGAAAGTAATTTAGTAATGTTGCTCTTGCTATATCAAAGCCTAAAGGCAGCATGAACAGAAATTTATATCCTAAAAACTTTTAATTTTATCTTGACTCTTTAAAACAGTTTTCAAGACTTAGATCCCTCGCTGATAATAATCTGCTGGGTCATGAGAAAGTTAAAACATTCTCAAGCATTCCAAGAGTTTTTCTGTGGGGGTGGGATGTAGGGGCGAGGATGCCGAGAACTGAACCCCAGGCAAGTGTCTGCACCAGCCCCCACTGGATTCGAGCCAGCCCTCAAGTCAGTAGCTCTTAGGCTAAGCTGTGAACTCTCCCCTACGGTCATCCATTGTTTCCTTCTTTGAGCATTATATGAAAGAACCAATACTAAAGTAGAAGGAAAATAACTAAAACAGAACTAATCTGAGCCTGCTTGGTTTTGTGTTTCAGGGTCTCCTGGCCAAAATTGTCCAAAGCTGTGATGATGACACGGTGGTAAGCTGTATCAGGAAAGTGCAGGTTTCTGACGGCACTCCCGACAGCAGAACCTAAGATCTGTATTATTTTCCTGAAGAGGATTTTCCTATTCCAATTACATAAACGAAATCTCTTAAGGACAAGAGGTATTTCTTAAAGCTATGATTCAGATCTTTTTCCTTTCATAGGAAGAGGAGAACAAGAAAAAAATTGAAGTTTCAATATTTCTAATGCTGGGGGAGGTAATGGGGAATACACCAAGGAGACAGTTTATAATTTAGAAATGTTTATATCCACAGACTCATCTGTTGAGCTGCTTGGGCTCAAGCTGTTATTTTAACACATATGCCAGTATTATAAAAATACTCTCTCTGTTCACAACAATGTCATTCTATTAGTATTTTTTGCCCCACAGAGGGGCATAAATTAAAAAACAAACCAAAAACTCACAAACACTGTTCTAAGTACAAGGAGCAAAAACTGAAAGTCGTTTTAGATAAAAGAAACCAAAGATTTCAAAAGGTTGGTCCTGTTAAAACACAAAGGGAAATCACGTGGTTTTGGACTTGGCTGCTGGCTCTGTTTCCTGCTCATACTCGATCTCCACATAGGCACGTTTTCTCCGAAAAGGTCCTTTCAACGGTGTTTTGCCTTTGTGTTTGGCTTTTTCTTCTTCCTCACTGGAGGACTTGTCGTCATCACTGCTGGCATCCAGTTTATCCATATCCTAGTATGCGGAAGGAAGAAACTCATTGACTGTCACCTCACTTTAGAGCTACAGTTTTATGTGCCTTTATGTGTTCAGGAATTACCGCCCCTTCATTGATGATGGACAAGGGATGATTTAGCCCATAAATCTCACCTCAAAATCACTTATATCACTTTCATCCACTTCGTCATCTTCTACAAACTCTCTTTTCCCTACATCCTAAAATAAAACATGATTGGTTATATAACTCTGTAAAAACCAAACAGAATCAGAGTTGCAAAATAGAATTAAATCATCAGTGGCCAGTCATTATTAATGGGAGATATATAAATAGTTCCTTGTACATTCAGCTAAACTATCAATTCCAGAATGTCTCCTAGTAGGGAAACTATACCTTCCACCTATGCATGCCTGAAACATTAGTAAAGGCCGAGAAAGAGCTGACAGGTGGCTGTATCCTTGCATGCTAAGGCCCTGAGCCTGATTCCTGGCACTGCATAACCACCTGGTGGTGGCCCTGTAAACTGCTGGGGGTACCCCGTGCCCCTAATATTATCTGCTTGCTAAATCTGCCCCTCTCCTAAAAATACTACTGCTCAAGTGCCTTTCTTTAATAAAGATGAAATCCTTCACAATTTCACTAAGTTTCTCATTCGACCAGTTGATGAGGACTCATTTACTACCTTCTAGGAACAACCTGAGGATGCCAAAAGACTGAAATAGTCAATGTATAAATAACTGAAGGAAGCTGGAGATTCAGAAACTGCTGAGTCAAAGTCAATCTTATAATAGGGAGAAAAGTCCAAATTGTTTTGGGCTAGAGATCTGAAAATGATACTCTGGCTCATCAATACAGATCATAGATCTAGTTCTGGGGATTACTGCCTGATACCACAAAAATTAAAAAAAGTCTTACTTCTTCTTCATCTTCTTCATTTTCCTCAGCGTCTGACGAGTCACTGTCTGCCTCCTGCTGCTCCAGGGCCTTGTCGAAGGCGTGAATGGGGAAGTTGTAGATGTCTCCATACTGAGGAAACAGAGATGGGCTTCAGCTACACTGGAACCTTAGACATAGAGTCTACAATCTGACAAGCACCTTTTCTTCAATTGAATTCTCAATTTGATGATATGTCTCTATTATCCAGCTGAGAGCTATCTGTGAAACTTAATTCTGATATTTAAATAACGGATGGTTAATATCAAACTGGTAGTTACTGTGAAGGAAGGAATCAGATTACTTAAAATTGAGTTGTCAATGAAAACCACAGACTGGAATAACTAATTTTATAGTAAGAAAAAAGTATTCATGTTGTCTCTGTAAATGACACTGACTTTTAAAATAAAAAGTGATTTTACACTTCAAAGACCGTGGTCTTTTAAACTTCAAACAAATATGTGTGACTTATGCAGACATCTGAAACTGTTGCAGTTGGGATTAATGGAAAAAAGTGAAAAAGATTCTTGCTGTGAACAGATGTGACCAAAGTATTTTTGTACCTGCATTAATAAATTCAATCAAGGAAGCCAAGGACTATCTATATTTCAGGGATAAGATCAAGATAACATTCCAGCATCTTTAAAAACGAAACACATTTCCCACTTTTCCAAGCCTACTGCCGTGTAAAATAGAAACCGAGCCCTGAGTTTTCTCACCGTATCTTGTTTCAGTCTCTCCAGCAATTCCTTTTCAATAGCATTGTCCAGCTGAGCCGCTATTAATGCCTTTTCCTATAAGAGAAAAACAGCAAACTCATACTTCATTGGGATTCCCTTTTAGCCTGTAGAAGCCAAGCAAGTTAGTTTAGTAAAAAACAAAAACAACGTAATCATTTCCCTTAACAGTTTTCAGGGGCTTGCCTCTAAGTCAGATATATTTTTCTTCTGAAACCAGAGGAAATTTTTACTTAAAACAAACTCCACTGTTCGTTAAGTTCTAACAAAGCCATTGATACGTAAGAAATCTCTTCCAGTTGCTCTCAGGAAATGACATGGTATCTATCATCAACCTGTACCACCTCAAAAAAAAAACCAACCATATATGGACATTTTTAGCCTACAACTGCATTCGTTTTGACAGTGAAAACAAAGTGAAACAGGATTTTTTGTTATCAGAATGCATCTTTATTTAAAATCTTTTCTATGCCTTTATCTTTGTAAACTGAGGTAACACAGTTGTAGTATTAGTGCACCAAAAGTGTTCATCACTGCACCTCCAATGATAGCAAAGTGCCGGGGACACCCCCCCCCCCCCCCCTTTATGCCTCTAATCTGTCAACCTCCTTTCTGTTATCAGAGTGCATTCCTCTGCTTGCCTTTCTTTGGGGGCCAGAAATAGGCCACCGCCTAGTGGATGCTAAGCAGCGGGGGCCGGAAGGGCCTACTCCAGGAAGAGGGATCCAACTGGGCCCTCCACGCGGGCAAGCACCTTGTGGTTCCTTGCTTTGCTTCTATTTTATTTTGCTGGGGAGAGAGCACACCCATATTCATGACCTCCTGGCTCTACTCAAGAATCACTCCTGGTGGTGCTCAGGAACCCCTATAGGATACCGAACGTTGAATCCAGGCCGACTGCGTGCAAGGCAAACGCCCTACCCGCTATATATTGCCCAACCTGCTGTACTGTAGCCCCAGCCTTTGTTACAAATATTTTTAATGTATAGTGTCAGTGGTGCCTTGTGTCTCTATTGCTATCAGCAAGCTATCCTGAGGGAAAAAATAGAGCACAGAAAGTTTGACCGCTCCTGCTCCTTAACCCTGATTATTACACACATTGGTAAAGCGTAATACAGATGATATTGAATAATTTGCACTAAGACAAGGAAAAGTTACAAAGGTATGCTAGTTATTTAGTATTTTGGTTCTTAAAATATTCTTTCAAGAGAAATGACCAACATATTGTAGCTGAATTTGAAAAACATAAAAAAATTTTTTTTTTTTTAAAGAGCAGAGCAGAGAGGTCAAAGGGCTGGTATTTGTCAAGAGTGTGCAGGAGGGCTGGGTTTGAGTCCCTGCACCGCTTGGTTCCCCCAAACCCTGCCCCAAGGAAGGCATAGCCCAGAGAAGCTAGCAGTGGCCCCAAAGCCCAGCCCACCAACACTGTGGACAGAACTTTATGTTACACTGTTGGAAATGTGTCTCTATGAAACTGCAATCACTTACAAAATTTGGAAGTAAAAACACCGCAATAACATACTTAAAACATTTGTAAACAAGTTTTCAACCCATTAATTATAAATTTTTCATAGCTACATTTTTTCATAGGGCTTCAAACAGAGTAAAACAAAAAAATTCTTCTCAAAGCTTTATAAAAGACCTATTTGACAGCCAGGAAAGAAGAAAACTCATTAGGCAGATGTGAATAAAAATTGCGTAATTGGGGCCAGAATGATAGTATAGTGGGTAAGACGCTTGCCTTGCATGCCGCCAACTTGGGTATGATCCCTGATACCCATATAGTCCCCAAACCAAAAAACCCCAAATGGGCTGGAGTTGATAGCACAGCGGGTAGGGCATTTGCCTTGCATGTGGCTGACCTGGGTCCAATTCCCAGCATCCCATGTGGTCCCCCGAGCACCGCCAGGAGTAATTCCTGAGTGCATGAGCCAGGAGTAACCCCTGTGCACTGGCGGGTGTGACCCCAAAAAAGCAAAAAAAAAAAAAAAAAACCCAAAAAAACAAATAACAAAGGTATAATCATGCTGGAGAACAAAAAATAATAAGCAAGTACTTAATGCAAATCATTGAAAATGCACTTTATACCCTTTAAATATCAGCTGTGATAGTGAAGACATACTATTCGTGCACCCAGACGTTATGAACAAGGGTGAGGAAAAAAAGAGAAATATCAGGGAACATATGTAAAAACCATTTTTTGTTGTGTTTTTGGGCATACCTGGCTGTACTCAAGAATCAGGAATCGGGAGGACCTGATGTGATGCTGGGGGTGGAACCCAGATTAGATGTGTGCAAGGCAACTGCCTCAGCCACTGTATTATTTCTCCAGCCCCAGGTTCAAAAGTTTTGATGACAGAAATGATTAAGTCTGGAAACCTTGTGACTGAAACCTCCAGGCTTTTATGAAGTCAGGATGGGCCACCCACCCCCATCTCCCTGTACTTCCAGAAGCTCCAACAGTCACGCACACACCCCAAAGCCACCAACCAGTTAAAAATTTAACGCCAGCTGAATCACCCCATTAAGAATTTTGGGCTTCCTGGAGCAAGCGGCCGCAAGGGCTCAAACTCTTGAAACTCTTGAAATGCAACATCCCAAACTCTACAATACTGCTGATAAACTAGCAGAAGGCAACTAATCTCAATTAAAAAATGTAAACACAGAAGGCTTATCCTGTAACAATATCTTAGTAATCTCTTATTTATCCAAGGACTTAGTGGCTCAAAGGTGAGATAGAACAATCTTCATTAACTTTCTTCTAGGGATACATTTTTTGATCATTCTCTTAGCAAATTATTGATAATAAGTAATATTAACATTACTGAGGTCCTGTTTTGTGGGCAGGCTTTGGAGGTGTTTAGAAAATTGGAGACAATGGTGGAGGGAAGGTGTAATGGTGGCGGGATTGGTGCTGGAAGATGAAATGCCTGTAACAAACGCCTGTAACAAATGATCATGAACAACTTTGTAAACCGTGTTTATATAAAATATAAGGGCGAAAACTGGAAAATAGAAATTAAATGGCCAAAAAAAAAAGTTTGGAAACCAACAATGTAATAGGTTTTGAGGTACAGAACTCTATATAATTAGTGGAACAAAAGCTTCAAATGCTGGAGTATGAAGGTAAGCCAAGTACACACGTAGAATGACTGAATTTGTCAGGAAAAGCTAATTCCTGGATTTTAAAAAGCTCTAATGAAGGGTCTGAGCAATAATACAGTGTGTAGGTGGTTTGCCTTGCACAAGGCCAACCTGGGTTGGATTTCTGGCCCCCCATATGGTCCCCCAAGCATCATCAGCAGTGATCTCTGAGTCCAGAGCAAGATGTAAACTCTGAGCATCACCAGGCATGCCCCTTCACCCACCAAAAAGACTCAAGAAAACTGCACTTGAGGGGCCGGAGCGGTAGGACAGCAGGTGGGCACTTGAGTTTGCCTTGCACTTGGCCAACCCAGGTTCAATCTCCAGCAGCGCAAATTATCTCCCAAACCTGCCAGGACTGATTTCCTGAATGCAGAGCCAGAAGTAAGTCCTGGGCACAGACAGGTATGCCGCCCCCCACTACCCTCCCCACCCCCCCCAAAAGAAAATTCAGCTTGAGTAAAGTCGACATACATGCAGTCTATTCTAGGCAACAGAGGCTGGCTTATCCTCTTCATATGTTCCCATGATAGCACAGTATTAAATCATTATCCACATCGAATAAAACCGCCCTGTTTACTTAAAAAAACACTGTCCTCCCATTCAATTTGTTCATCAATTTGTTTGAGCGGGCACCAGTAACATTCCATTATGAGACTTGATGTTACTGTTTTTTGGCATATTGAATATGCCATCACTGCAGTGCGGGTGGGAGGCTCTCCAAGGTACTGAACCCAAGGTCGGTGGCATGCAAGGCAAATGCCCCACCCGCTGTGCTATCGTCAGAATTACTTAAAAAACAAAACTAAACAATTCACTCTTTTGTTTTGTCATAGGTCCACAATGGTGCTCAGGGGGGCTTCCAGTGAGGGCCTGGGGCTGCTCCCAGGGTTCAGAGCTTGTACTTAGGAGATGAAGCCCGGCTAGGGATCAAATGAGAGGTCCCGTGTGCAACCAGAAACTCCAAAACCTGAAAAACTCAATCAAGTGGTCAAGTATGACCTGAACAGACACAAGACTACTTAAAGTCTTTTAGGGCTGGGGATGCAGGTTGGTCACGGGAGGATATTTGTGAGGCCTTAACTCCATTTTTGACAACCCCTCAAAAAACAAACCAACAACCAAAAAACAGTCTACAACTTCGACGGAGTGGAAATATTCTTATATTCCACTGCGGAATTTTAGCATTTGACTGAAATGCTCAAACCTTGCTGCCGGGAACATGTATGTAACATTTCAAAGCACCTGAAAAACCTGAGGGCAAGAAATCTCCAGGCTCTCAGAGCATGGAATGGGTGACCTCCCCCCACCCTCCCCATTCTTCCGGGAGCCTGGCAGTCATACCTATGAACTGCCTCTGGCTCCAGAGAAGCTCATTAACCAGCCATGATCCAAAGACTCATAAATAAATTTTGAGATCAACAACAGAGATGCTTCCGGAACCCAAAGTCACCATCCAGTTAAAATTTAACCCCAGCTCTCTCACCCCATTCAAAATTTTAGAAGTCCTGGAGCACAAGACTGCAAATCTCATACTCTACACCACTGATATACCAGGAGTGGCACACCCCATTGGATGGGATATAAAGTAGAAGGCAATCGGTCTCGGTTAAGAAAATATTAACACAAGGCTTAACCTGTAACGACATGTTCGTAATTTTTTATACAAGGGTTCAAATGCTCCAGGTAAGACACAATAATTTTCACACATTTTCTTCTAAGAAATTTTTTTGATCGTTTTAGCAAATTATTCATAACAAGCAATACAAAATAAATTACTAGGGCCTACTATTGGGGCAGGCTTGGGTGGTAGTTTGGAAAACTGGAAATAATGGTGGTGGGATTGGTGTTGTAATATTGAATGTGGTAATCATCGCGAACAACTTTATAAAAATAAAAGAAAATTTTAAAAAAATTCTTGAGTTCAGGAATTATAAGTCTTTCTCTATTTAAGGCATTTTCCCCCCTGCTCTCTGTACATATATCCCCAGAGCACTCATATTTTAACTGCTACCAAACTCCTAAGACTATGATGTGGAAACCAGGTAATTGATACATTGCACATTAGCAAAGCATTCTCCAGGGCCTAAACAGTTCAACAGTTCACAGACAGAGGTGACTAAGAAACTATGAATATAAAACAATACATCACCTCTCTCCTTTTCTCTCTTCTCTCCACCTTCTTACTCAAAGGAACAAGTTTCTTCCTATAGAAAATAAAACACATTATCAGAATATCCGGGACCACTCTCCACTGGCAGAGGAACCCAGACATGAGGGTCCCGGGGCTGCGGTCTCCAAGCCTACTCAGATTGGGACTGGGCCTTCGCCAGCTAGACCCTCCATCTTCCAGTAGGTAGGCGTCACACCCACCAGCTGCCGCCAGCGCCAGGTTGGTCCCATCAATGGCCAAGACGCAGAGACTATAAAACCCAGATCCCCGAAGTGCGCAGCCACAGATGCGACCGCACAACATCTTATTATCTTATTTTTCCTTTGGAAAACCTGGCAGGCTACCGAAAGTATCCTGCCCGCATGGCGGAGTCTGGCAGGCTTCCCGTGTCGTATTCAATATGCCAAATACCAGTAACAATGATGGGTCTCATTCTCCTAATCCTGAAAGAGCACTGGAACCTCAGGGCTAGGAAGAAGGAGACGTTACTTGTGCCTGCTCGAGGGAATCGATGAACAGGAGGATCGTGATCGTGATAGTGATCAGAATACCCAAGTGCATGTGCTAGGTTTTCTTTTAAAAATGAAAAAAAGGATTGGAATTGACTTGCAGTGCTCCATGAAATAGAGCAAAATGACATAACATTTCCCCAGACAGGGTCAGTCAGAGTGACAGTACAATAAATAGGATGCTTGCCTTGTACAAGGCCAACCTGGGTTTGACCCCTGGCACCCTATATGGTCCCTTAGTAACACCAGAGTGGTCCCCAAGCACAGAGCCATGAGTAAGCCCTGAGTACCACCAGGTGTGGCCCAATTAGGCCCCACAAAAAAAAGAAAAATTTTCTAAACATTTAATGGGGTAAGAACTTTTAAACATATTTCAATGTGGGTATCTTTCCCCCCCCAGGTACTCTGAAATATATGAGGGCATTTACAAAGGTGAACTAAGAAAAAGGAATTTTCTGTAGAAAACTCAAAAGTATCTGAAGCATTGTTGGGCGATCACAATGAAAAAAAAAAAAATACTGGGACCCTGAAAGAAGATAGCCAATTAGTTTTATAGTTAAAAAATTAGTTTTTAACATCCAAAAGAACAAAAGCGACTGGTCTTGGCATAGATGTGGGGAGAAAGGGACCCTCCTCCACTGCTGGTGGGAATGCAGACTGGTTCAGCCCTTTTGGAAAACAGTATGGGCGATTCTCAAAATATTAGAATTTGAGTTCTCATTTGACCCAGCAATACCACTCCTGAGAATAAAGCCCAGGGAACCAAAAATATATTACTGAAGTGATATCTGCACTTATTTGTTCATTGCAGCACTGTTTACAATAGCCAGAATTTGGGGAAAAAACCAAGTGCCCAAGAACAGATTAAAGAAACTTTGGTACATCTACACAATGGAGTACTATGTAGCTGTTAGAGAAGATGAAGACATGAAATTTACATACAAGTGGTTCTACATGGAAAGTATCATGCTAAGTGAAATGAATCAGAAAGAGAGGGACAGACATAGAAAGACTGCATTCATCTGGGGAACATAAAGTAACAAAATAGGAGACTAGCACCCAACCAGCTATTGAAAACAAAGTGTTTCACAATGCCTTTTTGGCAATTCTGATTGCTGGGCGGGGGGGGGGGGGGGGGGGGGGGGGAATTCTAAACAATAATGGTGTATCTTTTGTCGAAATAATGAATGTAATCAATGTAGAGAAGAGTTAAGTAAAAATCATCTGCCTCACAGGCATTGGGAGGGGTGGGAGGAGGGTATATTGGGGTTCTTGGTGGTGAAAAATGAGTACCGGTGAAGGGAAAGGTGTTTGATGATTGTATGACCGAGACTTAAACCTGAAAGCTTTGTAACTTTTCCCACAGTAATCCAATAAATAAATCTAAGAAAATAAATAAATGAAATTATGAAAAAAAAAAAAGTAAGGTGGCGTTCATGCCCGATTCAATCAGCGGCTGAATGAACAGCAGTACTCCTACATAAAAAAAAAAAAGAAAAAATTTTCTCATCTTCATATAAAGATTCATGGGAAAACAGTTTAAAATAAGTAGATGAATGATCTAAGTACTTACTGTCGCTTGAGTGTAAGTTTTCTAATTCGAATTAGGTACTGGGTAATCTTGGTGAATCTCTGCTTACATTTGTGTCGAATAAAACGGGGCCAGTAGATAAGATTTTCATCTATTTGCTCCAGTGCTTTCTCATAATTTTTATTAAGCCGGACCTACGAAACAGAAAAAGTTTAGCAAGGACGAGAGTTAATTATTAGGTCTGGGCCACTAACTGCCTCAAGCTTAATGAGAATGACTTGAAAAGTTCAACACAGATTGCTCGAGGACAGAAAAGCATGTGGCATTTTGCTCTGAATTAATGGCCACACTTGTCTGAAAACTCACCCGTTCCCAGAGACGCCTAGGAAAAGCTGCACGTTCTATAACTTTCATGTATAAGAAGCACTGGCCTGCAAGAGAAATTAAACACCTCGAATGAAAGAAAATCTTTTTCATTACTTCTTTGGTTTTTGGTTACACCCAGCTATGCTCAGGGCTTACTCCTGGCTCTATGCTAAGTCCCCTCCTAGCAGTGCTAGGGGGAACGGAAGAGGTTCGAGGGACCAAACCCGAGTGCACTGTGTCTAAGGCTTTCCCGATGTACTATCTCTGGTCCCTTAGAAAAATCATTTTACAAGCTGTTGGGAGTTCTCGTGGAAGTTGAAACGTGAGCGTTACCTTTCTCTTCTTTGATGGTGGCATACTGACTGTTGGCCAGAGGACAAGAGGACCGATTACACAGCCCTGTGAGGCTGTATTCATTTCTGCAGAACCCCTGGGTCTTGGTTCTGGAATGGGAGGAAACAAGCACACAAGGATTGAGCTGGGTTACCAGGAAGGCAACAGAAGCCCCTCTGTACAAGTAGCAGATCCACACTGACCTGATTTTGAAGGAACAAAATTGCTTATTTCCGAGAGTATCCCAGATAACCTGCAAGACAAAATAAAGATCCATTTGTTTTAATCCCAGAAAAACAATGCCCGAGGGTAGTACCCTGCTTTACTGAGGAAAGGCATCTTTAAGGAAAGAGAAGTGCTTTGTAAGTCTAATTGGCTTTCCTTTCTTAACACAAATAATAGATTTTTTTTTTAAGAAAAAAAAATACAAATTTGCTCAAACTATAACTCCACTGTCCAGAGAGAAAATGTCACCAATGTTTTATAAACATTTTGTTTCTAAACATTTTGTATTCCATATTTTTACCTAAAATGATACACACAGACACAAACACACATGTTTATATCCTCAGACTATATATGTAGTCTCATTTTAGGTAAAAATGAGACTTTTACTAAGTATGAAATACTTTTCTTACTGTAACACTGTCGTCCCATTGTTCACCGATTTGCTCGAGCCGGCACCAGTAACATCTCCACTGTGAGACTTGTTACTGGTTTTGGCATATCGAATACGCCACAGGGAGCTTGCCAGGCTCTGCCGTGCAGGCAGGATACTCTTGGTAGCTTGCCGGGCTCTCCAAGAGGGATGGAGGAATTGAACCCGGGTCAGCCAGGTGCAAGACGAACACCCTACCTGCTGTGCTATGAGCATGCTTATTACCCATGGTTGAAGTCTGTGGATTACTATCTTTTTTTTTAACATCCTTACCATTATTTTAGCTCATTGTGGGCAAGGGAAACCATCTATTGTGTCCTCCACTAACATGCTCTTAATGCATTTCCGTACACTTAAGCGACTGACATCAATGTATCCCAACACAGAATGCACTCCAGTGCTTGCTGAGTGAAGATTTAATAGGGCTTAGTCTCGGATCAGCTCACTGGTTTATCACGCCAGCTTTGCAACCATCAAGACTGAGAGTTCAATCACTGGTGCTGCAGATGTGCCAGACACCGCTGGCTGCTCTGCTGTGGGATCCCGGCAACCCCAGGCACTACAATACAAACAAAATGGTGCAACGAAATGAAACGAAAGGGTGCAACCCTGTGCAAATACTCCCGCGGAAAGATGTGTGAGCGCTTTGGTCAGGAAGAGCGACCATTTGAGGGTCCTGTGCAAGCACTGAAGCCGTGAGCACCATAGCGACAGACTCTGACTAACTAGGCAACAGAGGGCTCACAGAAGAGGTGAATGAGGGGCTGAGTGATAGCACAGTGGACAGGGCGTTTGCCTTATATGCGGCTGACCGGGTTCGATTCCCAGCATCCCATATGGTCCCCTGAGCACCGCCAGGAGTAATTCCTAAGCCAGGAGTAATCGCCAAGTGTGACCCAAAAAGAGAGGGGGGGGAAAAAAAGAGGTGAATGAGGGTCTTTGAACTGCCTTGAGGAATGAAGTCCTGAAAGTATTTAAAAGGAAAAACATAATAAAGAGTAAACAGGATACTCTACCCACCCTGCTGCCCACTCGGCCCCCCTACCTGAAAGTTTACAAAGCATCAGACACATTAACTTGTCCAAATGGGACTCTTCATTCCATACCTCTCCAAACAATGTGTTCCTTCCTTAGTTTCCACCACCTCGAGGAATTTATTATTTTTTTTAAAATAAGGCTGCACAATTTATTCAACTCCCAAAACCCATTTATTTTTCTTCTCATATTTTAATTATCACCAAGTTACACTAGTCATACAAAGATCCCAAATTCACCTACTTCTTTTCGTCTCCAGCATTACCTTAGCTGAAAAGCTCCTTTCATCATAGTACAGTCTTCTTGCTTTCAGTCCTCCTCTTCCATACAACTAGAGTTTTCACTAGTATAGATTTTTTCCCCACCAAAAGTCATTAAGGGGGCTGGAGCGATAGCACAGCAGGTGGGGCATTCGCCTGCACAGGGCCGACCCGGGTTTGGTTCCCAGCATCCCATATGGTCCCCCGAGCACCACCAGGAATAATTCCTGAGCGCAGAGCCAGAAGTAACCCCTGTGCATCACAGGGTGTAATCCAAATAGAAAAAAGAAAGTTTGACATACTCCTCAAAAGAATAATAATAAAAAGCATTATCTACAACTCTACATGATTTTGTGCTGGTAAGCATAGCAGCACCATTTTCTGTTCATTCCTCTATCACAGTGCCAATGGTACTCTTTACTGTACTCCTTCTCTCGTCTCCAGACTTGATAGTTGGCTGTCCCAACTGACCGTTGTTCCCTCACTCTTTAAGCCCTGGTTCATTCTCATATTTCAGCTCACAGCGCGAAATTCTTCACAGAAACCTTTCTCGTTCAGCCCACTTGACTCCTTCACGCACCCATCTTCTTGTCTACATTATATGGCTACAGTATGGAATAATACCACTTTCACTGCTATGTCTGCCTATCGTCTGTCACCCCATAGGTGCTTCAGGAAAGCAGGACTTTTGTCTCGTTATATAAGAGTCAAATCTCTGTTTTCCCTGGTCACGGATTTTAAGTCTTCTACTACAAATATATATGTGCATATGTATACATATTCACTGTCCTCCCGTTGTTCATCGATTTGCTCGAGTGGGCCCAGTCACGTCTCCATTATGAGACTTCTTGTTACTGTGTTAGGCATATCGAATACATCACGGGGAGCTTGCCAGGCTTTGCCGAGAGGGTGAAATACTCTGCGTAGCTTGCCGGGCCCTCCGAGAGGGGTGGAGGAATCGAACCCAGCTCGGCTGGGCTTGCTACCCGCAAGCAAAGGCCCTACTGATGTACTATTGCTCTAGCCCTATATACCAGCTGGAGCAATAGCACAGCAGGAAAGGCCTTTGTGTTGCATGCGGCCGACCTGGTCGGCCCAGGTTCGATTTCTTTGCCCCTCTCGGAGAGTCCGGCAAGCTACCAAGAGTATCTCGCCCGGACAGCAAAGCCTGGCAAGCTCCCTGTGACGTATTCAATATACCAAACACAGTAACAACAAGTCTAACAATGGAGATATTACTGGGCCCACTCGAGCAAATCGATGAACGGGAGGGCAGTGCTACAGCATGCATATACATCTATATATATGTATATATATAGTATTCTTATTATCATCTTATTATCTCATTCCTGCTTTGGACAAACTGGCAGGCTACCAAATGTAACCTGCCCACACGGCAGAGTCTGGCAAACGCCCCATGGCGTACCCAATATGCCAAATACCAGTAACAATGATGGGTCTCAATCTCCTAAAGAGCCTTGAATATAGCACTTTCTTAAAAATTTCAGGGCTAGGATGAAGGAGACGTTACTGGGGCCTGCTTGAGGCAATCGACGAATAACAGGATGATCATGATATATTGTATTCAACATTCACAGGCAGAGTCTCCTACCCTGTGCCTGACTGTCTCCACCAGGGCCCAACAGCTGAAGACCTCCGGGGCCCAGCCAAGGCCATGCTGGGACCACTCTCCACACACTTGGATGAGCCTCACGCATAAATAACTGGCAGAGGAACCCAGGTGTGTGGGACCCAGGGCTGAGATCTCCAAGCCTGCACGGTTTGGGACTGGACCTGCCAGTAGCTAGACAGTTACACCCACCAACTGCCGTGTAACCCCAACAACGGCCAGGATCCAGAGATCATTACACTCAGCTCCTGGGAGAGAACAAGGCAGAGTCTCCTACCCTGTGCCTGACTGTCTCCACCAGGGCCCAACAGCTGAAGACCTCCGGGGCCCAGCCAAGGCCATGCTGGGACCACTCTCCACACACTTGGATGAGCTTCACGCATAAAAGAACTGGCAGAGGAACCCAGGTGTGTGGGACCCGGGGCTGAGATCTCCAAGCCTGCACAGTTTGGGACTGGACCTGACAGTAACTAGACAGTTACACCCACCAACTGCCGTGTAACCCCAACAATGGCCAGGATCCAGAGATTATCACGCTCAGCTCCCTGAACCGTGTGGCTGCAAGTGCGGCCACGCGACATCTTATCATCTCATTCCTACTATGGACAAACTGGCAGGCTACCGAATGTCACCTGCCCACACGGCAGAGTCTGGCAAACTCCCCGTGGCGTACCCAATATGCCAAATACCAGTAACAACGATGGGTCTCATTCTCCTAACTATGAAAGAGCCTTGAATACAGCACTTTTTAAAAATATCTCAGGGCTAGGACGAAGGAGACGTTACTGGGGCCTGCTGGAGGTAATCGACGAATAACAGGATGGTCGTGATTGTGATTGACTGCACTCATTTGTGGCATACATACATATGTATATGTACATACACGTATATATATACCACAAATGAATGCAGTCCGGTCAAGTGTGTGTGTGTGTGGGGGGGGGGGGCTGAGGGGAGCTAAGAGACTGGCATGGCAATGATAGCTGGGAATGATCCTGCTGGACAAGAACTGAGTGTTAAAAGGAGGTAGAGGGGTACTCTTGATAAACTTTCAGTATCAACACTGCAAACTACAAAGCCCAAAAAGGGGATGGAGGGAGGGAGGAAGAGGGGGAGGGTGGAGGGAGGGAGGGAAGGAAAGGGACAGGGAGAGGGAGAGGGAGAGCCAGGGAGGGAGTAGGGAATAGCGCCCGCCACAGAGGTAGTCAGGGGGTGGGGGTGAGGGTGGGGGGTGATGGCAGGGACCGTGGGAAATGTGCACTGGCGGAGGGATGGGTGTCGGGACGCCGCGTGACTGAAAACCCAAAGTGAAGGGCTCTGTGAGCATCTACCTTACAGTGATCAAAGGAAAAAAAAAAAGGCTGCAAAAAAAATTAAAAAAAACAACTCCAGTCGCTATCACAGCGTGGGCACCCCTGGGCCATTTCTCCAGCGTGTTTGCACTCTGGGCACACCGGGGGGTAAACGTGTACAAAGGACCCCTGGGTGTTGTCTCCGCTGCAACCCGGCACGGCCCCTTCGCCCCGCCCCCACCTCCGCCAGCCCCAGACCCTTTCCCCCCAGACCGCTGCGCTGAGCGCGGGGTCCAGCTGGCCGGACCCAGGCCCCGAAAGCCCAGGTGGACAGCCCCAGGCTCGGGAAACGGGGCTCTGGGAACCCCCCGGCCCCACCGACGCGGCTGCGGGGCGAGCAGGAGCAGACTTACGTCATCGGACTGCATGATGCCGGAGGTCCGCGCCGAGAGCGTGCTCAGACGCAGGGGGCAGCCATGCTTCTTCCGGGAGGCCACTTCCGGGAAGCCCAGCTCACGTCTCGCGAGAGTTCGGGGATCTCGGGCTGGCTCGGCACAGTGCCCCCTGGCGCCCCGGGTGCCCCGCGCGCCTCTCGGCCGGCTCCTCCCGGGTTCGGGGCGGCCCCGCGCCCGCGCCCGCGCCTGCGCACTGGCCACCGGCTGCAGGCTCAGCGCTGGGCCCTCCTGGAACCTGCAGGAAACGGACTTGGGCGAGCTAACAGATTTTTTTTCCACTCTATTTTGGCGGGATAAAATTTCTTGGTTTTTCAAAACCATCGTTTTTGAAAAGGAAGGTAATTTTAAGAATGCCAAAAAAAGTAAGAAAAGCACAAATAAGTGTGGACTGCTTATTACATTAAGAATTCTACACAGCAGGTAGGGCGTTTGCCTTGCAGGCGCTCGACCTCCGTTTGATTCCCAGCATCCCATATGCTCCCCTGCACCGTGCCAGGAGTAATTCCTGAGCATTGCTGGGTGTGACCCCCCAAATACATACATACATATATATATCATACATATACATATACATATATATATATATATCTCACGAATCATGACCATCTTGTTATTTGTCGACTGCCTCGAGCAGGCCCCAGTAACGTCTCCTTCATCCTAGCCCTGAGATTTTTAAGAAAGTGCTATATTCAAGGCTCTTTAGGAGACTGAGACCCATCATTGTTACTGGTATTTGGCATATTGGGTACGCCACGGGGAGTTTACCAGACTCTGCCGTGTGGGCAGGCTACATTGGGTAGCCTGCCAGTTTGTCCAAAGTAGGAATGAGATAATAAGATGTCACTTCCGGGAGCTGGGTTTTGTAATCTCTGGGTCTTGGCCGTTGATGGGATTACACGGCACCAGGGTGGTGGGTGTGACCCCTGCCTACTGGAATTTGGAGGATCTGGGTGGAGGATGCTCAGCCCCAATCTGAGTAGGCTTGGAGATCTCAGCCCTGGGACCTGCATGCCTTTGTTCCTCTGCCGGTACCTTCATGTGTCCGGAGAGTGTATATTGCTTTTTGGGTCACACCAGGTAGTGTACAGAGGTTATTCCTGGTTCACACACTCAGGAATTACTCCTGGCAGTGCTTGGAGGACCATATGGGATGCTGGGAATCGAATCCCAGGTATAGCTTACAGTGCAATGTTGTGAGGCTGAAGTGGAGCCAGGGCAGGCTCCACTTTAGGACCAAAACTCAGCAGGCCTAAGTTCCAGTTTCCCCTATCAGAAAGTCCCAATTTCTCAGAAAACAGAATCACCCTGGGTAGATAAACTGCCCTATGGCAGCAACCTATAGAGTAGGGGGCATGGGCAGTGGTGCCCAGCCAATGAGAGGAGTGGAGTCACAGGACAGACAGGGACCAAGAATTGGAAACATATTGTTGGTCCCTAGAGTCACAGGACAGACAGGGACCAGAATTGGAAACATATTGCTAGTTCCTGGAAAAATGCTGTTATGTAACCAAACCCTACATAAACTGCTTAGAATTCAGAGTCGGGGTCTTTGTCAAGACTCCACTGTGTTGGATGAGACTCGGACTCTAGCTCGAGCTAGTGATAAAGGGGCCTTGCACTTGCTTCTTCGCATCTGGTCTGGTCAATGTGTGAGTGAAACTCCCTTCCCGGGACATAACAATGTAAAAAACAGTGTGTGAAACAGTGGACGAAATCAAAAGCTGAATCTTCCTTGCCACTTGGCCTCACACCACACTTGCTGAGTTGTTTTAAGGAAAGGAAGTGTTGTATCTATTCATTTTGATTTAGTGTAACTTCTCATCTAAGCTCACCACCCCTAGGGGAATCTTGGGAGCAATCTTGTTTTTGTTTTTGGGGCTACCCCCAGCAATGCTCGAAAGTTATTCCTGGTTTTGCACTCAGGAATCGCTCCTGGGGGCTTGGGGACCCTATGGGATGCCAGGGACCAACCCTGGTTGGTGGCATGAAAGGCAAGCGGTCTACCTGCTGTACTCCCCTCCAGACCCTGCAATCTTAGTTTTAAAAGATCTTTTGGTAGATTCGATAACATGTTTGTGATAGTGTTAATATTCATGGTTTTGACTTTTGGTTTTTTGTCTTTTTTGTTTTAGTTTAATTTTATTGTAACTGTTATTGGTTTGGGGCCACACCGGATGGTGCTCCAGGCTTGCTCCTGGCTCTGCTCTCAGGGATAAATACTGCCTGGCTCTCTGGGGATTGTATGGGTTGGTGGGGAATCAACCCCCTGGTCAGTTGTATGCATTGTATTATGCAATGCAAACTCTGTACCAGAGTTTCTTTTTTTTGAAATTACTCAGTTTTTATTGGAGATTTTGAAGGGAAGGAGGGAGAGAAAGTGGAAGAAAACAGAGAATAACGTGCTCAAGAGAGAGAATCCGGGCTTCTCCAAGGGCGGAGAGAGCCCCTCCACACACCCCAGCATTAGACATGAAAGCATGAAAGTACACATCTCAGGAAGGGAGATGCACATGGGCTGGGACAGCATATGGGCCAGTTTCTTTATTCAATTATCTGTCCTAAGACACTTGGGTTGTTTCCAGATCTTGGGTATTGTGAATAGTTCAGGCTCTGTGCTCAGGGATCCTGCTGCCAGCTCAGTGGACCATAAGGGGTGTCACAGATGGAACCTCGGTCAGCTTCCCGCAAGCAAGCACTCTATCTGCTGTACCATCACTCTGGCCCCATGGGACTTATAAATGCCTCTTGAGAATTTTTATGTCCGGAAAGATGAATTAAACATGCTTTTCTCTATTCCTGGAAATGAAAATATGCTGGAAGTCAATGATAAAAGCGAGATTCTTAAGGGTTGAGAGAGAGAGAGAGAGAGAGAGAGAGAGAGAGAGAGAGAGAGAGAGAGAGAGAGCAGATAGCCTAAGGACTTAGAGATATGAGGGTCAATATCGTGGGTGCATATTTGGGTTTTCCTTTTGCCTCATCTGTGCCATATTTGGAAACAGGGGCCAAAGGAGCTCTGTCACTCTGGGTTGCCGCAATAGTGGAGCAACACAAGCCACTGTGTAATGAGAAACTCCATTATCCTAGTTCTTAAGCCAGAGTGAGAGTAGAAGTTAGAGCAGGAATGCTAGAAATAGCTTTGTTTTTGATACCAATTATTTATTCTTTATATATCTCTGTTGAGAATACATAAATCTTAAATGAGAAGTCTTGAATCGCAAAAAGCACTTTGAAGATATTTAGACTAGCCGTTGGCCTTTGGCCATTAAAGGAAGGTTTTTGAAAGAGGAACGCGGAGGGTCCTCTGACATTGGCAGTTTTATTTCTAGCCTGGGTCTGTTGCCTTAGGAACATTCCATGCTTCCTGTCGAGTCTTTCAGAGTCATACTTTAAGTGTTTATACGTATAAGAACAGATGAAGAGAAAGAATGGATTTTGAAACTCTAAGTACAATCATATGCTTTCCCCCAATAATTGCATCTGATTATGTGATTATTCTAAATTATATATACAATATGTAATTATATATAATTTACATCTGATTATATGCATTTTAATAATATTAGACATTGTGCACACACAGACTAAAAGAGCCTGCCTCTTTTGGTGGGGGTGGGGGGAGATGGGAACTTTGGGCCACATTTACTCCTGCTCAGCCGGTACTGTTGGCTCTGTTTTCAAAGGTGACTTCTGGTGGTGCTTTGGGAATTGTATGTGGATCAGCTGCATGCATAGCAAGTAATTTAACCTCTGTATACCCCCAGCCCTCTATCTGTTTGAGTTTTGAAAATATGTTCCTTCCTGCCCTTGCATCCCTTTAAAAACATTTATTCCAGGGGCTGGAGAGGCAGTACAGGAGGTGAGGTGCTTGCCTTGCATGTGGCCAACCTGGGTTCAATCTCCACCATTTCCCATGTTCCCTGAGCCTGCCAAAAGTGATTCCTGAGTGTAGGCCTAGGAGTAATTCCTGAGTCTCACTGGGTGTGACTCAAAAACAAAAACAAAAGCCCCATTCATTCCAACTAAGAAATACTCTATTTCAAAACAGTAAGAAATACTATTTTTCAATTCAATATGTTGGGAATACCGTATTTGAGTAAAACAAAATTTTTGTTCCCCAGAAATAGGACAAACAAAACAACGAAATAAATTGTGATGTATCAGGTTCAAAGCATTGTGGAAACTCTTCTACACTGATTTTATTTGCTTGTTTTTTTTTTTGCGGGGGGGGGGGGCACACCCAGTGATGCTCAGGGATTATTCCTGGCTCTGTGTTCAGGAATCATTCCTGGCAGTGCTCCACGGACTGTATAGACACTGGGGATCAAACTCAGGCTGACCATGTGCAAGACAAGCACCTTACCTGCTGTGCTATCTCTCTATCTCTCCAGTCCTACATGGATTTATTTATTTATTTTTTTAGCTGCTGACAGAGTCTGTTTTTTTAATTTATTTTTATTATTTTTTTATTAGTGAATCACCGTGGGGTACAGTTACAGACTTAAAAACTTTTGTGCTTACGTTTCAGTCATATAATGGTCGAGCACCCATCCCTCCACCAGTGCCCATTCACCACCACCAATATTCCCAATATCTCTCCCGCCACCCACCCCCACCCTTTCCCCAAACCACATGGATATTTTTTAATATTAAAAATATTCCTTTCAGATATACCTGATAACCTTTCATTATCTATATTGCAAACCATAAGACCCCAAAAAAGAGAGAGAGAAAAGAAGAAGAAGAAGAAGAAGAAGAAGAAGAAGAAGAAGAAGAAGAAGAAGAAGAAGAAGAAAAGAAGGAGGAAAAGGAGAAAAGGAGGAGGAGGAGGAGGAAAAGGAGGAGGAGGAGGAGGAGGAGGAGGAGGAGGAGGAGGAAAAGGAGGAGGAGGAGGAGGAGGAGGAGGAGGAGGAGGAGGAGGAGGAGGAAAAGGAGGAGGAGGAAAAGGAGGAGGAGGAGGAGGAGGAGGGAGGAGGAGGAGGAGGAGGAGGAGGAGATCTGCCTTAGTCACAGGCCAGGGATGGGCGGGGGCGGGG